TATTCATTGTCCAGCTCTCACATGCATACAAGGTGATTGGAAATATCATGGCTTGTGTCAGGCGCACCTTAGTCCTCAAGGAGACATCCTTGCTCCTTAGCACTTGATGACATATTGATAGACCTTAAAAAAGTACAATGCTCAAGACAGACATTCTTTACTAGTTAAGCTAAACTATAGTTTGGTTTTAAGAAGACTTCAGGAGATATTTTGGTTTAAAATTTAAAGATTATTTTAGGGCAATAGTTTAGGTATACATCCAGCCCCCATAGCTCCAGAAAGTCTAGATTCCATTAGAATTTGAAATTGTTCTTTCCATTTCCCCACTTTTGACCAGGATTCTTCCATGGAATCTTTGATCAATTTGTTCAGTAATGGTAGCCAGGCACTATCCAGTTCTTCTGGTCCCATGCCCAAAAGGGTAGTTGTTCATGGAGGTACAAACTCTAGTAAATGAGTGAATTTTTTAATAAGGAGGTAAATTGTTTCAGAGAGGCAATAATTTGTGGCAAAAGAACAATTCTAATGTCCTAGGCAGAGAGAATTATGTTCTCTGGGAGCCAAAGCCTAGCTAGTCCAAGAAAGCGATTTCTAGAATACTCACCTTGTCTTTGCAAAATAGCTCTGCTCATATGAAGAATCAGGGATTCACACTCCCAATTATTTTATTGATTTTCTGGGAGGGTGGACATAGTGAATGTTCAGGGCTTTTAAAGGCAGATATTCATTTCTTCAAGAGAGCTAATGCTTAAAGGGAAAATGTGTTACAATGTTTCTCACCATTTGGTCTTTGAAATACTTCAGTTCATTCCTGTGCAAGGTGAACCATCTTGTTTTCCAAGTCTGGAGGGGGAAATAAAACCCAAAAAACTTTAATTAAAACACATAGGTATTGAGTAGAGGAAAACAATGTTTGAACTAGACAGTTTTCTTTTAAAATATATAAAAGACAAATACAATAAGCTTGGAAAACATTCTTGTTGTAAGAGTTGTTCTTGAGAAAAATATTTCAGAATATACACAAAAATTAAAATTATTTCATTCATTAATTTTATAACAAAAGCAGAGATACCACTAAATAATACTTAAACAAATTAAGAAAACAGCTTATATAAATATTCAGGGTGGTTTATAACAAGCAACTAGAATGTTCATCTTATTAACTTTATAACAAGTGTGTTGTTGTTACGTGATGTCGAGTTGGACCCGACCCATAGTGACCCCTCCTTGGGTTTCTGAGGCAGTATCACTACGGAAGTAGATTGCCCAAACTTCCTTCCGAGGAGTGGCTGGTGGGTTTGAACCACCAGCCTTCTGATTAGCCTTAGGCACTACACTACCAGAGCTCCTTTATAACAAGAATAGATAGATATCATTATTACGCGCTATGGGCTACTGTTTGGAATTTTATTATGTTTTAGCCATTCCTCACACAAAAATGCTAAATATTATTTTATTTTGTTTTGCTAATAAGCAAGTTGAAGTTCTGGTTCCTCAAACCACATGATATTCTAGACCTTGTCTATGAATTCTATGGCATTTGTGGCAAAAACTGACAGTTGCCTCTCAATATCCATTGTCTTAATTTTATATATTATTAGAATCCTAAAACACATTTGGCTGCTAACTGAAAGCTTAGAGGTTCAAGTCTACCCAGAGACAACTTAGAAGAAAGTTCTGGCATCTACTTCCAAAATGTCACAGCAATTGAAAATTCTATGCAGCACAGTTCTACTCTAAAACACATCTGGTCACCATGAGTCAGAATTGATCTACTGGCAACTGGTTAATCTTATTCTAGGTAGCAATCTTACTAGTTAAAAGAAGTAACAGAATATTTAAAAAATGAATATTCTATGAATATTAATACTGCCTGCCTTCAAGGAGGATACAGTATAGCAGGGACACAAATGACTAAATATTTAGGTTGAACTCAAGCAAGTGAGTACCCTGACTCTTAAAAAAGGACAGAATGGGCATATTCCAAGAAGGTTTTAACACAATGAAATGAAATAAGTAACTTTAAAGGTATAATGATATAAAATGGCAGACAGTTGAATACCTTGGACTTTTAAAGTCCCAAATTTTGTTTTCTTTGGGATTTCATCAAATCGTTCAGTTAGGGCATGTGACTTTTTCAGTCAACTTTTAGATAAACAGTTTATAAAAATTTGACTTTTCATTTGTTAAAACAAATGTCCTAAAGCAGCTTGTTACTTTCATCTTCAATTATTCCATTAAAAGTTTTATATATTTTCTTGAGAATAAAATGTAGGCTATTATCGTGTAAGGCTTCGCCAAAGAATTGTCAAGTCATTTTTCAGAATTTTGATTCATTATTCATGAAAATGAATCTTCCAAACAGATGAATACTAATAACTGGATAAAAATGAGTAGGAAATTTTCTTAAAAAACAAGAAGACCAGTGTCAAAATTAGAGAATTCCACCTACATGATATGTTGGTTCACTTCATGGCTGACATGTTTCCTTACCTTGACCAAGCCCCCTTGTTTGGTGAGGTAGCCTTCTTTGGTGCCCAGCTGAAAAATCAAGAAGCAATGAATGAAGCCTAGAATGGTCATAAAATAATTTTTATCTTTATATTTCTGTCCTATGTTAAAATGAGGGAGCCCTGGTGGTACAGTGGTTTGAATCTACCAGGCACTCCACAGTAGAAAAATTGGCAGCCTGCTTCTGTACTCACTCATAGCAACCCCTCCTTGGGTTTCCAAGGCAGTATCACTACAGAAGTGGATTGTCCAATCTTCCTTCCGAGGAGTGGCTAATGGTTTTGAACCACCAACCTACTTTTTCCTATAGGGTTGCTATGAGTCAGGATCAACTCAATGGCAATGAGTTTATGTTAAAATGAAAAGTCTGCCTTTGATTTTTAAGTGATGACCTTTCATTCTTTACCTAAAGACTTGAAAATCTTCCATATACTGTGAGAGACTGTTTTTAAATTGGATCATCTAGCATTCTGTAGTAATAGGTAACAATAGAAAGACTTTTGACTAACTTGAATCAGCAATTTACAAATAAATAAACCACATCATTTCACTTACATTAGTTTTGGCAAAGTGTATTACACGAAACTCAGCTGTTTGGATTATTGTGTGGTATGACTCATGCACATGCATGCAACTTTATGGTCAATACATTGGGCAAACATTGGATTAAGGAAAATAAAGGAACCTCTGTAGTCCAGGGCTTCACAGAGCACATTATGCTAATTTAATTTTTAAGAAAGTCTTTAGACACTGAATTTCTAATATTTATTTTATCATAAAATTCCTTTATTTTTCACAGATGTGATAGTTAAGGATATATGTCAACTTGATTGGGCCATGATTCTCAGTGGCTTAGCAGTTATGATGTAGTCATCCTTCATGATGAAATCTGATATAATGTAATCATCTCCATGTTGAGATATATTATGAACACCCAATCAATTGAAAGGGAGTTTCCTCAGGGGTGTGGGCTACTTTATATATATAGGAGCTCTGGTAGCATAGTGCCTAAGGCACTTGACTGCTAACCAGAAGGCTGATGGTTCAAACCCACCAGCCACTCCTTGGAAGGAAGGTTGGGCAATCTACTTCCATAGAGATACTGCCTCGGAAACCCAAGGAGGGGTCGCTGTGAGTCGGGTCTGACTCAATGGCACATAACAACAACAACAGAGACATGCTGGGAAAGTTCTCTGGTTTTCTGCTGGATCTGGATCCTGCTTCTGGCTCATCATCATCTCTGGTTCCTGAACTTGAAACAGTGGCCTGCCATATTGCCTGCCCATCTTGGGATTGCTGCCTTTGCAGCTTGTGAGCCCACAATCTGCCATTTTACCTGCCTATCTTGGATTTGTCAGCCTCTGAAGCCAGCTACCTGCTATATTGTCTGCCAATCTTGAGTTTGTCAGCGCCTACAGCTGTGTGAGTAAGATGAAGTCTCCAGCTTGATATTTGACCCATGAACTTGGAACTTGCCAGCCTCTACAACTGCATGAACCATTTCCTTGAGATAAATTTCTCTCTCTCTCTCCCTCCCAGCTCTCTTTCTATATATAAGCTTCACTGATTTTGTTTCCCTAGATAACCCAGCCTAAGACAACAGATGAACTCTTGAAGACCCATATTCCATGGAGAAGACTTTCAGAAATGCAGTTGATTTATACTTGACTTGTCCAAAGGGATCTGAAGTAAGAATGAGTCATTTCTTTTTAACCCCATTTCACTAATTCAAGGGTAATAATAATATCACTATTACTGAGCACCTAACTTAGTGAGCAAGCACCTGTGTAACAGAACAATGGTGGGGAGCAGTATGAATATAAATATGCATAACACAAGGAACCTAAGATCAAGAAACTAAAATTAATTTCTGAAGAAACTGAATTCCTGGTAGGGTGTTTTTTTCTAATATGATATCATAGTATGTCTGGTATGAGCAAGAAAAAAAAGGATAAAAACTAGGAAATGACTTGGTTGAAACCAAGGTTCTTTTTATGGGAATTTCCAGAGTAGTTTTTTCCTGAGGTAAATTCTCCCTACCAAATAAAAAGAGGAACAGCAACCACCACAGCAAAAAGAGTTGAAGAAATAAATAATAACTATTTGTATGAAAGTTTTCGTGACATTAAAGTAATGGTGAACTTCCCAGGTATCTATTTAAATAATGTTAAACCAAAATTGGTAAATTTGTTATCAAATTAAACTAACTAAAAACTCACTGTCATTGAGTTGGATCTGACTCATAGCGACCCCGCCTTGTGTTTCCGAGGAGGTATCACTATGGAAGTAGATTGCCCAACCTTCCTTCTGAGGAGGGGCTGGTGTGTTTGAATCGCCAGCCTTTTGCTTAGCAGTCAAATGCCTTAGGCACTACCCCACCAGAGCTACCTATTATCAAATTATCAGGAATTATTTTGGCACTAAAAAAAAAAAATTTGAACTGACTGAATTGAGTTTAGACATCATATTATGGGAATGGCAAAAATTAATATTTTGGGTCATTGCCAGTTAATGTCTGTTGCAGTTGTTAGGGCCGTTGAGCCAGCTCCAACTCATAGTGACTCTATATACAACAGAACAAAACACTGCATTGTCCTGAGTCATCTTCACAATCCTTGCAGTCACTGTGTCAATCTGTCTCATTGAGTTTTCCCCTTTTTCACTGTTCTTCAACTTTACCAAGCATAATATCCTTCTCCAGGGACTGGCCCTTTCTGACAACTTGACCAGACTAAGTGAGACAAAGACTGGTCAGTCTTCTAAGGAGCATTCAGCTGCACTTCTTCCAGGATAGATTTGTTTGTTCTTCTGGCAGCCCATGGTATTTTCAGTATTCTTCTCCAACACCACAAATCAAAGGCATCAACTCTTCTTCAGCCTTCCTCATTCATTGTCCAGCTTTCACATGCATATGAGGCTATTGAAAATAACTGTGGTTTGGCTTAGATACACCTTAGTCCTCAAACTGACATCTTTGCTTCTTAACATTTTAACAAAGGTCTTTTGCAGCAGATTTGTCCAGTACTATTTGATGTCATTCTTAAGTTCCTACTGTTCCTGCCACCCTGCCTATCTGCTATCCTGCTGACTTGTTTGCTTGCCTCCCTTAATAATACATTAGAAAGCCATTAGGCAGCATGAAGCAAGGTAGGCATATGTGTGAGTGGGCAGGAGGGCTGCAGCCTGGTGCAGAGAGTGAGGAAGGCATTTGTGCACCCTAGCACAGGGTGATGGAGCCCACCCAGGATTTGAAGAGCATCTGTGTGTGTGATAATGGTGGCAGCAGCTTGTTGGGAGACAATGAAACTTGAGCAGGGGGAGGAAGGCTTCGACTCAAAGATGTAGAGGTGGTGGCTCAGTGCATAGTGTCAGAGTTGAGTAGACTGAGTAGGCATCTGTAATGAGGGCAGAGGTAGTAGTGGCTTGGATAGGATGTTGGAGCCTGAGTTGGGTGATTAGGGTGTCTAGAAGGAGGGTGGTGGCAGTAGCAATTGGAGATAAGTATACTGAAGATAATGGTAACCACATTTCTCACTAATAGGAGAAGGGAGTTATAGATATGAAAAAGGGAAAACTAGAATGAGCCTTGCAGTATTGGATTGGTATTGAGGTATGTGAACTCATGGATTGATCAATCATTGGTATATATGTAAATGCATGTACATTCATGTGTATATACACACCTAAGGAGCCCTGGTGGTCTAATGGTTAAGCACTTGGTGATTTGAACCCATGCAGCAGCTCCACAGAAGGAAATACCTGGTGGTCTGCTGCTGTAAAGATCAAAGCCTTGAAAATCCTGTGGGGAAGTTCTGCTCAGTTACATGGGGTTTCTATGAGTCAAAAATGACATGATAGCACCTAACAACATATACATACATATTTTCCCTAGTTCTTTCTGAGTAGGCTGGGAGAGTGACATCTCCCTAACAACAGTTACCTAGCACCCACATCTTAGTTTCTAAAGTTCCACTCTCCAGAAAAAAAAAAAAAAAAAGGTGAAAAGGTGTGTGTGCCTGGGTGAGGGCTTCTTGAAGAAATGGCTGATTTCAGAGGTGGGAACAAAGCAAGTTCAAGACAAGCCTGGAACATCTTGCTGTGCATACAGAAAGTAAGAAAATGCTCACAGAATGAAGCCATGTTTTAGGGACATAGAAGCTACCTTGAAAGGCCTTCTACTGGCCAAATCTGGGAAAATATGAAGAATCAAAATGAGTGATAGCCATGACTATAACTCATTGTTATAAAAAAAATATAAATGATTGAATAAATGAGGAGAATAAAAACCATGTCCTTATTTGGTGGTGCCACAGTTAAAGCATTTGGCTGCCAGCCAAAAGTTTGGTGATTCGAACCCACTAGATGTTCCTCAGAAGATTCTATAAAGATTTACAGCCTTGGAAACCCTAGGGGGCAGATCTACTCTGTCCTATAGAGTTGCTAGGAGTTGGGGTTGACTTGATGGCAGTGAGTTTATATATGTATACACACACACACACATACATATATATACATGTAAAAGGAATGACAAATTAGAGAATCACCATGTGGCAATGAGACAACAATCATAGTAATAATTAAAGTTGTGAAGAAATATCAATGGATGTTAGAATTGATGGTAAGGGTTTAACAAAGAACAGGATATTCACATAGTCTCAATAACCTTCCCATAAAATACTATTAGAAACAATGGGAATGAAGTAATTTTAGAGTAAAGAAATCTGACAGAGACCACTTTAATGAAGTAACCAAAGTTGACACATCCTAATGGGACAAACTGAAATTCTGTGCCATCTGAGATAAGGCAGGAACAAGAGTAAAGCATGACTTCTATGGTATTTCTAAAAAGGTGCATAAGCTCAATCTAATTGTGAGGTAATGTCAGACAAACCAAGATTGAGGAACTGCCAAAGGAGCAGGGAGGTTGCATCTTCTGAGCTCCTCTAACCCCACAAGAGGAAGACAGAATCACCACCAATAGCTCCAGAATCACCATCAGTAGCCCACGCCTATTCCTGTGAGGCCAGACA